GGGGCTGGGCTCGAACCCACCACCTCCAGCATATGGGGTCAGCACCCTACTCCTTTGACACAGGTGCCCCCCAGGTGGGTTTTTTTTTTTTTTTTTTGAGATAGAGTCTCACTGTGTCACCCTGGGTAGAGGGTCAGCTCACAGCAACCTCAAACTCTTGGGCTTAAGCAACTCTTGTCTGAGTCTCCCAAGTAGCTGGGAGTACAGGCATCCACCATAACGCCCAGCTATTTGTTGGTTGTAGTTGTCATTGTTTGGCAGGCCTGGGCTGGGTTCAAACCTGCCAGCCCCGGTGTATGTGGCTGGTGCCCTGGCCACTGAACTACAGGCGCCGAGCCCTGTTGAAGAGTTTTTAGCACAGCAATGTCATGATCCAAAATGATAATGTCAGTCTGTGGAATTGAAGAGCAAGAACACGTGGGAAATTGGGAGTTTGCTGCATAGTCTAACCAAAAGACAGTGCTGGGTTAGATTAGGGTGATGGAGACAGGAAAGGTGGATGGGTTTTTGAGATATATAGACAAAGTAGAATTGACATGCTGATGGATCAGGTGTTGGTATCAGGAAGATCCAGTAAAGCGGAAAAATAAGCAATTGGAAAGCTAGGGAACCAGAAAAATGCCTTGTGTTTGGTCTCTGGTCTTACCAAAGACCAAAATTTCAATAAAGAAAGGAAGCCTAGACAGTAAATAAACAACTTTCATATCTAGCAAGATAAGGTTGAAAATATGCTCGGTTTTGGTTACAAGAACATGACTGAGCTGAAAATGATACCTTTATCTATTTCCTAATTGGCACAATAATCTAATAAAATTAGGGTTGTTGGGAGTCCAACCTGATAGCGATTGTGGCAAATAGCCAAATTGAGTATACCAGAAGGAAAGAGATTCCTACAGTTTTTGAGTGCTGCCTTTAAGTTACAGCATGAATTTGTAATGAGTTTCCCAATTTTAGTACTGTAGCTCAGATACAAGAATAGAGAAAGTGAATGATTAGATTGGAAAGATTGGGTGGGTAGTAGAGGGGCTTTCCGGGCGGTGGTCTGAAACAAGACTGAGAAGGAATCTGAGAGATTGGGAGAGGTCTGTCTTATTCAGGGGTCCAGACACCCTTAGATTAATCTGCTATAGGGAAAAAGTTGGGAATCGAGTTGTTTAAAACTTTGTGTTCTTTTAAACTTTTTTTTTTTTTTTTGAGACAGAGTCTCACTTTGTCTCCCTCGATAGGGTGCTATGGCATCATAGCTCACAGCAACCTCAAACTCCTGGGCTCAAGCAATCTTCTTGCCTCAGCCTTCCAAGTATCTGGGACTACAGGTGCTCTGCCACAATACCTGGCTATTTTTAGAGATGGGGGTCTTGCTTGGGAACTCGTGAGCTCAAGCAATCCATCCACCTTGGCCTCCCAGAGTGCTGGGATTATAGGCGTGAGCCACCACACCTTGCCTCTTTGTGTTCTTTTAGAATTGGTTCACATTTCAAATACGATGTAGTAGCAGAATTCTATGTGTGTTTATGCTTAGAGTTTTTAATTCCATTAATTTCCAGCTATGTGATTTTTTTTGAGACAGTCTTATTCTGTCACCCTGGGTAGAGTACCATGGCATCATAGCTCACAGCGACCTCAATTTTGTTTTTTTTTTCTTTTCTGGAGACGAGTCTTACATCGTTGCCCCTAGTAGAATGCCATGGCATCATCTCTCACAACAACTTTAACCTCCTGGCAGTCCACCTACCTTGGCCTCTCAGAGTGCCTAGGATTACAGGTCCTGTGACACCCAGCAGCAACCTCAAATTCTTGGGCTCAAGTGATCCTCTTGCCTTAGCTTCCCAAGTAGAGGGGACTACAGGTGCCTTCCACAAGGCCTGGTGGTTTTTAGAGATGGGGTCTCACTCTTGTTCAGACTGGTTTCCTGAGCTTAGGGAATCCACCTGCCTTGATCTCCCAAAATCCTAGGATTACAGGCATAAGCCACTGCACCCAGCCCAGCTATGTGACTTTTGAACATATTTTCTCTGAACTTCATGTTTGTGAATTTTTTTGGTTTGGGTTTGTTTTTATTTGTTCTTTTTTTG